TCAAATTAATATACATTTAAAATTTGACTTCATGAAGTTAATATCCTGACGTTAATGATATAAATATTTTTAAATAATTAGACATAAATAAAATATAATATATAAGAATTTTATATTTGCTAAAAAGGAGATATCAAAATAATTGGCTAAGAGACAGATTATTCAATAATATATGGTGCTGGGAAAACTAACAACTTGGGAGAATGGAGAGACAAAAAAGATTGTCCAAAGAATGAACTAGGGGGCTTTCCCACAGTTACCTGACAATGAGCTGGCTGGTATCTGGAGGTGCCTGATCTCACCTTCCCCCAAAGTCTCTGAGTACTGAACAGCTAGTGTTTCCAGCAGCTCTCTAAAGAGCTGGCACCCAAGCTCTGGCTATTTGACACCCAATTCAGCTCCATCCTCAGGCCACTCTCATGTTTGACCACAACATACCTGGTACACTAGAGTGAGAATAACACTCTCTTAGATGGCGGGCGCATGGCCCCTTGGATCCTGCTGACTCTTCCATTTATTAATTCCTGCTTGAACCAAATAATACTTGCTATTGATTAGCTGAGTCCTTTTCTTGAGGAAATGGGTTTAAACACTTAACCTCACATTATGCACCAAAACTAATTCTAGAAGGTCAGCAAGTCAGTAAAAATAAATCAAGACAATGAAAAGCTAGAATAAAGTGGAATTAAGTCATCTACAAATCTCTGGAGGATGAGACAAATTTCCAGGCTTCATAAGAAGATAAATCACAAATAAAAACACTGATCAATTCACTAATTTGACATAAATATTTTAAATGTTCACATAACAAAAGAAGGACAAAGAACAGAAGAAATATGTTCATCTAGTATGACAAAGGGTTAACATCCCTATTACATAAAAAAATTAATAGAATTGGTGTTTTAAATCAAATCATGAAAGCTCAGTCGATAAAGGTTATAAGCAATCTACAAAGGAACATGCAACCAGTAATCAAAGAAATGCAAATGAAAGCAACAAGGTACCATTTTAACCTACTTTTCTTCCTTTTTGATAGCTCCTTCTTAGCCTGTTTGGCTCCATTTCCCCAACTTCTGTATGTTGAAGTGCTCTAGGAATTCAGTAGTACTTAGACTCATTCCCTAATGACCTCACCCAGTCTCATGGCTTTAAATAGTGTCTATGTATCAATGACTCCCAAATTTTGTATCTCCAACTCAGACTGGAATATCCAACTGCCTACTGGCCACCTCCACTTGGATTTTTAACAACTGACTCAAACGTAATGAAAATATATCTCATTCTGTACAGCTGATACTCTCTCCCCCAAACCAGTTCCTGCACCCTTCTCCTTCTCAGTTGATGGCAACTGAATTCTTCCTGTTGCTCAGGCCAAAAATCTTAGTACTATCCTGACTCCTCCTCTCATATGCCACACCTCATCAGTCAGCAATTTCTGTCAGTTCCACCTCCACAATACACCCAGAATTCAATTCACTTCCCTCACTACCACCAGGTTCCAAGCCACCATCTTTTTTCACCTGGATTATTGCAATAACCTCCTAACTGGTATCCTGACTTCTGTCCTTGCCCCTCTTCCTCTGTTCTCAGGAGAGTAGTCAGAGTGAACCTGTTAAAAACTAAGGCAAATGCTCTCACTCCTTTGCTCAACTCTCCAATAGTTGCCCATTCTCATTCAGAGTAAAATCCAAAGACCTTACAGTAAGCCCTACATGATCTATCCCCTTCTTACCCTACCCCACCCCTTATCTCCATGACTTCATCTAATATTGCTAACCCTCTTGCTTTGTTCTAGCCACATGGCTTTGATGTCCCTCCACCACACCAGCCATATTCTTACTACAGAGCCTTTGCACCTGCTATTCCTTGTCTGGAATGCTCTTACCAAGATATCAAATAGCTAGCTCTCTAATTTCCTTTGGGTCTTTATTAAAAATGTGTCTTTACTTTTCCTCCACCCTTTTCCTTCCATTCCTACTGGCCCATAGTGTATGTTAGAGCCAAGCAAGACAAGGAGGGCACCCATGCAGAGGGGTGGCCTGGCACGGGGTATCAGACTAAGAGGGTGAAGATTTGCTGACATCGAGTGATGGAGCCCAAATTCGGTCAAAAGGGCATCGAGGCAGGGGAAGGGGTGGCAGCAGAGGAAGAGATTAATTACACACAGAGGGTTTGATCAAATAAGTAAATACACTGAGGATAAAGACAGCTAATTTCTCACCGTTAGAGTATAGACATACAAAGATAGAAAGGCATAAAACTAGAGTGAACTGAGGTTGGATTGAAATTGGAGTGAACACACAGTTTTCAATATAGTTATAGTATAAATAAATACACACTTATATTGTTTGTATATATGTATATGTAAATGTGTACACACACATACATAAATATTCTATGTCCACTGAGAGTGTCAAGGAGCAACATGCCAATAGTAATGAGCATGCCTAGCGCATAGAGCATGGCTTCAAAATAGCATTCTCAAGGGCTCCTTGGAGAATTGCCTAATTCCGGGGTTGGACAGGAAAGTACAAGATAAGCCTGGAACATCTTGGTATGCCAGAAAACAAGGAGGTGTTCAAAGAATGTTGGGGGCATGTCAAAAAGACACAGAAGCTTAGTTTGAAAGTGTTCCAATGGGAAAATGTGAGAACAATTTGAACATCAAAATGATTCTAACTCATTGACATAGCAAATTATGAACTCATATGGACATAAAACAAACTGGAAGTTTGATAAGAAATGTGATCAAGTACCTCTCTACAAAATAAACAGAAAAAGGATAACTTTAAACTGGAGAAGCTTGGAAGATACCACCTAAATCAAGTGATCAAAGTAAATATGGTCAGTAATAGGCCAAACAGAAATTATATGTCATCTGATAAGCTGCAGCAAGAATACTGCATGATTTCTGTGATATTCCTGCCAAAAATGCATAAGCTTAAGTCTAATCATAAGGAAACAGCAGACAAACCTACATTAAGGGGTATTCTACAAAATAAGTGGCCTGGAATTTTCAAAGTGTTAAGGTCATAAAAGATAAAGAAACAGTGTGAAACTGTTTCAAACTGAAGGAGACTAAAGACACAAGATAACTAAATGCAACAACTATTGATGCAGAACTGGATCTTTCTGCTATGAAGGGCATTATTGAGACACCTAACAAAATTTGACTGGAGTATGAGGGTAAGACACTATTAATGTATCAATGTATCAAGACAGTATTAATGTATCAATGTATCACAGCATCACTTCTGTGATATTCCTGCCAAAAATGCGTAAGTTTAAGTCTAATCATACGGAAACAGCAGACAAACCTACATTAAGGGGTATTCTACAAATTAAGTGGCCTGGAATTTTCAAAGTGTTAAGGTCATAAAAGATAAAGAAACAGTGTGAAACTGTTTCAAACTGAAGGAGACTAAAGAGACAAGATAACTAAATGCAACAACTACTGATACAGAACTGGATCTTTCTGCTATGAAGGGCATTATTGAGACACCTAACAAAATTTGACTGGACTATGAGGGTAAGACACTATTAGTGTATCAACCCTTATTTTGATGGTTACAATTTGATTATGTAGAAGATTATGTACAATTTCCTTTGTTTATAGGAAAGGCACCCTAAAATATTTGGGAAGGTGGGACATTATATGGATAACTGAGTATATATATATAACTGAGTAACTGATTCTCAAATTGTTCAGGAAAAAAATTTTTTGCTACCATATTTTCAACTTTTCTGTGGGTTTGTGATTTAAATTTAAAATATTTTTTTAAATGTTGTCACTTACTCAGTGAGACCTTTACTAGCCACTCTTGAGATGCTCACCCCAATAACACTTCATATTTCCCTTTGGCACATATATTTTATTTATTTATCTAGTTGGTTGTTTCACCCAGGAGGATCCATGAGGGCAGGAATTTTTGTCTGTTTTATTCATGGCTGTCATCAGCGCTTAGACCATTGCCTGGAACACAATAAGTGCTCAATAAATATTTAATGAATAAATGAATGGATAAGCCTATTAAGTAAATGTTTTAAGGAAGATAATAACCATTACAAGGACAGGTGAAGTAAAACTTACTCTTATCATCAATGACAGGCTTGTTAAAAATCCTTTTGGAAAACAATTTGGCAAATGAGAGTCATAAAAATATTAATATTCTTTTTTCTAGAAATTTCACTTCTGGGAATTTATTCTAAAGAACTATCCTAAAATATGGGGATGTAATCACAGTGTCAAGCTCTTCACTAGTGTGTTATTTATAGAAAAAAAAGAGAGAAATATACAAAAAGCAGTTGATAAATTATGCCATAGCCACAGATTAAAATTCTACTTCATTTGAAATTCCATTTGTTTTGATATTCATTTCATTTGAAATTCTACTAATGTGGGAAAGTGCTTTTTAATGTATTATTACATGAGAAAAAAAACTGAATATAATTTTACAGTCTATGAGTCCAACTAAAAAGCATGCACTGTATTAAGCAATTATTGTATTGTGGCAAATTTTATTTGTTTTTCTCTATTGTCCAAATAGTTGGTAATATGGTTATAATTTATATTCTTAAAATACATTTATAATAAATATATATATATATTTTTTTAAACACATCATGGATGAAATTAGCTACATGTAGAAAGTATTAACCTCATGAAAGAAAATAACTGCTTGGGTGAAGAGATTAAGAACATACCAATCAAAGACTGACTAGTCTGTCTTCAAACATGAAAAATATAAAAAAGGTTAAAAAAAATTTTAAGCCTGTTTAAATAAAGTATGTTAATAGAAAAAGTGGTTTACAAAGACTCAAGAGAAGAATTGGATGATACCAGTCTATTACTGCTGATGCAAGACATGCTAAATGCAACAAATACTAAAACCACCAAAAAGGTATACTCTGCTGGACGAGGGTAGGTTCATCAAGCTTGCCAGGCCAATAAAACATCCCTCAAGACCATCCAGCACCCCCTGTTCTGATACCATGCTCACCAGAGAGTCTTCTGATTAACTTGGCCTCCCAGGTAACTTATAGGAAAGGCATTTCCTAGATCTTCACATAGCCACGTGAGTACTTGAAATGTGACTAATCCAAACTGATATGTGCTGCAAGTACAAAATCCACTCCAGATTTTGAGGACTCTGTATGAAAAAAAAAAAGTAAAATACCTCAGTAATAATTTTATATTGATTACCTGATGAAATTATAACATTTTGGATATATTGGATTAAATATGTTATTAATTTTACCTGTTTCTTTTTATTTTTTAATATAGTTGAAAAGAAAATTTTAAATTACTTCTGTGGCTCACATTTGTGGTTAATATTATATTTCTGTTGGAGAGCACTGATCTAGAACACTGAACAAGAATACTGCAGTCCATGTAACTATATAATCTCCCTATAAAGCAGTAAATTGACAGTCTGGTTTAGACATCAGTCTCTTGTGAGCTTTCCTGTCACAAATCTGTCCCTCACAAACTGATCAACTTTGCACTCACAAAAACAAACCCAGTGAAGATGAGACCTTCACTGAAGTGAGCCAGTCAAGGTTCTGGCATCCTCTGAGCTTCCTGGGCACAAGCTGTCAGCTCCACTATTTCTCTACCTCTCATCATTTCTTCTTGAACTGTGTCCTTCAAGAGACAGGGTTGTGTATTATTAATCTTTGTTTTCCTAGCACTTAGGTGTCTTAAACAAAGGTATTAAAAAGTTTATTAAATGAACATTCTTCTACTTTTTATGCCTTTGATCACAGCTACAGGCCTCTTTGCCTTGAAAAGGATTTGTACATAACCTCCTCACTTCTTCATCTGTTAACTGCAAATGGCTTATAAAGATTGAATACATAAAAACCTGAAAGAAAGTTATTTACAGTCATGTGAACTAAAAAGAATAGTATCTAATATGGAGTGAAAGCTTCATAACCATCACAGCACACTATACTTTATTATCAAGGACAGAGCCTTAGAGACAGACCACAGAATTGATATTTCATCATTATGCAACGGCCTACATAATTTGACCTCTTATTTGTCCCTGAACTCCAACAGCAACCTGAAGGCTGATATAAAATAATGATGGAAGGGAAAATAGATGACACAAAAAGAAAAGGAGGTTTATTATGGGATCAGTGTAATGCTTTGGCCTCAAAACATAGACCAGATGGCAATAACCCCTTTCTCTCAGCAAGTAGCTTCTCAAAGTCCTACTGGTTGTCAAAAACAAATTCACTATCAACCTTCTCTGCTAATAATCATTTTTGAGTACTGTGGCAGCATCAAAACAATGCTGAAAACACACACAATCGCTCAACATAAAGATAAAAAATATTTTTTAACTTCTCCTAAATATTTACTTCTGACAAGGGAAGCCTTTTTCTGAGAAATGGTGTAACCCAGTAGAAACTCTAAAACCCCAGGCATGTTTTCATCTTTTTTTTTAAATGAAGTAGACAGACTTTGTTTTACCATATTTTGTGGCTGTTTTGTAAAACAAAATGCCTTAGAGCTGATAAACAGAGGGCGACAGTCTGGAAATGTGGTCTTAGGGTGAGAGAACTGAGGGTCCAAAAAGCCGTATCATTGACTGAAATTGACACTGTTATCATGGGACAGTATTGAAATCTCAAGATAAACAAGTTCACACTGTATAGTACAGGGAACTATACTCAATATCTTGTAGTGACCTATAGTGAAAGAGAATATGAAAACAAATGTATGTATATTCATGTATGACTGAAGCATTGTGCTGTACACCAGAAATTGACTCAGCATTGTAAACTGACTATACTTCAATAAAAATACATACTAACAAAGAAGAAGAAAATGCCTGAGAAACTGTTGGTTTTACTGAAATTAAATACTTACAGCTGCTAATTCTTTCGGACATTAAACCCTTCCTTTAATTTTTTTAAAACTGTGTACACAAGAATTCAATTGCCTTTACCTTCCATAGTTCCAAAGAAACCTTTCTGGTATACAAGACAAACTGAAGCAAACAGTCTCTGAAAGGTGACTTAGTGATTCCAATAAGAGGTATAATCTGATGACAGTTTTTCTTCAATTGTTTGAGGCACTTCTCACAAACTACAATTCAGTTGCCCTAACTAGAAGTCCTAAGCCTGCAAGCCGACCTTTACAAAACTTCCCCAATAGAACCATTCTTTCCTTCTAGAAGAGAGAATTTAAAAATCCTACATACGTCAAAGCTCTTTATCATTTTACACGGGGGCTGCGTGTCATTTTCTCTATGATTTACCTCTGGTTAGTTGGTTGACTCTAATAATTTTCCAGAACTGTTTCGTCCTGAGGTACCGACTTAACTGAACTATTAAGGCTCAGATCAACCCACCAATTCTGACACAGAGAAAATGGGAATAGGAAGGGCTGAGCAGGCCAGCGCCTGGGGACAAGAAGCAAAGTTCACCGAGCAAAGGTCCCCCAAGTGCAAACCTGAACCAGAACGGCACAAACGAGAGGGACAAGCAAAGGGGTCAGAGCTCCAACCGCATTTCCACCTCAGAGATCTTGAAAACGTACGTAATACCAATTTATAGCTGTTAAACTGGATGATACTCGTGAATCTGGGACTGAGAATCATTCAGTTATTGAATTGGGGGGGGGCGGAAAGCTCTGTAAACCGTTAAGCGAGGTTTGTAAAACGTAGGAGTGAATGAAGAAAAGGAAGGTCCTAAGGACCTGACAGGAGACGTTCAGTCCGCGTCAGCGGGCTACCTCAGGAGGAGGAGGAGGGGCTCTTTCCGCCGACCGTTGGCGCGCGAGCACCTGGCGCGACTTCACCCTCACGCTGCGCACGCGCAGCTCGCCGACTGGAAGGTGCGGGCGTGCGGTGGGCGTTGCAAAGCTGGCGGCGGGGAGGGCGGGGCGAGAGCACGTGACTGGGATGCGGCATTTCTGGTCCAATCCGAGGCGTCCGGGAAAGCGCCCTTGCGGAGCCTTTCGGGTAACCCCGGCTCGTCCCGGGTGTTGACCTTTTCTTCAGTCTCCTGGCTTTTCGACTACGCGCTTGAATCTGAGAATCTGGTTTGTTAGAACTTGCTGTATGTCCCGCAAATCAAATTAGGGGTACATTCTAAAGTGGTTGGCGCTTTTTATTCTTTTCTCCGTAACTAGAATGTCATTTCTATGATGTCAAATCTTGTTGCTCTCTCCCCAACACGCTCAAATCCCAGTCCGAATGCTTGAGACTCCAGAATCGCCGGAGGGCGCCCTGTCGTAAAAACAGTCCCCTTAGAAAGAGTAAACTTCATACCTCAGCGAGTGAGGATTAGGGACATTAAGGTAAGAATTTAAAGAGGCACGTATCCCACAGAACTACGACAGATCACTTACCTCAAAGACAGACTCTAAAAGATTACTTTTATTAACGATTTAGGCATTTAAGTAAAATCTCCCGCTGTTTATTCGCGGCTGCTATCAAGGATCTGAATTACTGTTACTGGGAGATTACCTGCACCATGTGGTTAGTTCGCCCTAGAGGGGTGTGACGGGAAATGAGGCTCCGGAGAAACCTGTCTTAAAGCTGGAGTCCTTGAAATAAGAAGGGAATGGGGTAAAAGCAAGATAAATGAGGCTGAGTTCCAGAGTTTTAATTCTTCGTGCTGCTACAGGCCAGGAACCTTGGCATTGGGAAATCAGGCCGTAGTGCAAAAGGATAAAAATGCCGACTATATCAAAACAATAACAAAGGAAATTTCTCTCCACATATCCCAATATAGATAACTTCATTTGGAATCCTACTTAGGAAGGTTTCACTCGTTTCCTACAAAGAAAATCCTCAACACTGCATAAATGAGTTTGTTCTTAACTCAGTCTATTCTCAGAAACCTGAGGTAGGGCACACAGCTGAAGGCTCTGGACCTGTACTGCTAGTTGCAGTGTGATTGTACGTGCTGCTTCCCGTGCAAACCCTAGCTTCCTCTCGTGCTGCTGTCACTGGTTCTTAAATATAGTTATTCCAACTGCATTTCCTGCCGTAACACAGATTCTTCTACCAACCCCAGTATTCCTCAATCGCAGCTGTCTATAAATGACATTGAGCTCCACCGAGCATACTATTATTGGCTTATTGGTGCCAAGAGAAGAGGACCCTGGGAGCAAATGCCTCCTACTGGAGAACTCGGTAGCCTTTGTGAGTTAATTTTGGGGCTGTGGAGTGAGTTACAGCTAAAGTGGAGGGCACAGATCATGGCCTCCAGCTGCAAGATGGTGCAGTCTGAGTATTCAATAGAATTAGAGAAAATAAGAAACTATTTACAGGGTCAAAGTCACTTCTTGAACGGCAAGAATGAGTTGTTTTCATCAGTGTTATGTGCCTGTCTGGTGACCTGTGTCAGTATTGACCAGTAATGTGGATGTGTCCATTTTATAAGTAACTAGGTGGAAATGATGCCTTAACAAAAATTTAAATTATTTGTAAACATTCTTAAAATTGAAGTCATACTTGCTTCTGATTCTTTCTTAATCAGAGTTGCTGTTATGGGATAACCCTGCTTCAGGGTCTTACCACACATAAAAGTGGCTAGATTTGTATAAAATAATTAAATATATATATGTATACATAAATAAATAAATAAATATATATATAGCATATAAAGGATATAAAGCCTTTTGAAAGATTCTCCTGGAAATCATTTTATAATTTCCATTTTGTGGTATAACCTGTTCTCAGTCAAATTAGGGCTCTTCAGTAGACTAGTAGTAACACAAGTAGCTGCCTCAGGCCAAATTACACAAGCCAGGTTCTCAAATCTTAGGCTGATTAGTACATGAAAGAGGAATGCAATAGTAGAATGCTATTATTAAGCAACAGCTGCAGAATACCATGGCATCCAGTACCAGGAACAACAGAGCGGAATTCTCAGCAATGGGAAGAATAAATGTCACATGTTCCAAAGCCTCTCTCTAAAATACAGAACAAGGAATAAACAATACTTTAAAGTGTTTTTGAATCACAAAATGTTTAGTGTTCTACCATTTTCTTTAACTGACAGGGAAAAGGCTTTGAATTTTTTAAAGCCATCAACCCCCCCCCACAAAATACCGTATTAATTTCAATAAATAATTCCTACAGTTGAAATACATTTCAATATTTTCCACCTCTCAGGAAGCAGAGTTCAATAATTAAAATACTTTCAATATTAAACTGTAAAAGTCATGAAAGCATGGCATTATACTTGTGCCTTGACTTTACAGATTCCAGAGTCGTCTATGAACAAAACATTTTAAAAATCACTTATCACAGGAGAACTAAAATGAGAGCAGGAAAAAAAAAAGTGTGGTTCAGGTTTGATGTACTCAAGGTAAACATGCAAGAATTGTTTGTAATTATATTATCTATGGATTCTGAAAATAAATATTATACAGTATAAGTGGGGACTTTGAGTATAAACTCATTTTAGAAAACTGTTGGTGTACAACAGGTTTATAATCACTTTAGTTAAATATAGGTAATAGTTACTTCAACTGTAGGTTGTAAGTTATTACTTCAAGTCAAAATACAAAAAGTACTGGCTCAATTTGCAACTCCAAAAGTAAAGTCAGTTTTTTCAGCTCCTTGGAAAAAAAGTTAACAAGGCAGATAGTGAGTTTAACTATTACATTGTAATGCCTCATATCACATCCAAGTGTTTGAATGTTAACTTTCAAGCTGATTCTTAGTTTTTAAAAAAAAAACCTTCAAAGCTCCCAATGCTGGTGTTCAAAAATGAATGTCATACAGTGAAACTAATCATTAACAACAAATCTTCAATTTATTTGAAGCAATTCAGTTTCAAAAACTTTAAGTTACAGCAGTCACAGAAAAAAAAAACCAGGGAATAGTCAGAAACAATAAAAATAATTAGGAGTACTGCATTTTTTGTTTGTTTTTAACACTGTCATGGCTTTATTCAAAACACAGTTGCACAAAAGTATTAACTTCAAAGTTTTTTAAGGAGAGTTTGAGGAATTTAACACACTATATACATACTGCCATACAAAGAGCATTAAAATAGGACCAAAAACTTCTACAAAATATAAAACCCCACCTTTATTTATTTGCATGAAAATACCACCCACAAAGCTAAATAAGTCTTAAAAAGTTATTTGGAGGCTCTAAGTTTTGTTTTCAAACCAAAGAACTCTAATTCTGATTGTACAGTAAGATGATTGATAAGAAAGTCAATATATAGATTTAATTTTTAAATAAGTATTTGATAATCTGGCATTGCAATGAGAATTCTTAGAGACTAAAACAGGGCATTATAATTGTAAAAAAGGAGTAAAATGTTAGCCTTTTGGAAATTCCAATCCCCCCACTAGACTTATCCCAACAGTTTTATTTCAGTCATTTATGCAGCTCTTTTAGTTTATCCACAAATAATTTCATCATTTTTACTTTAAAACCCCAAGCTATACATTTTAAACTAAAAAAGCAGTACTATACTCAGTAATTTAAATGTGTCCCAGTATAGAAGTGTAACATCAATTCATTTGTTGATACTAACTTTTTAAAAACTTACAAATATTCAAAACAAAGGGGAAAATTTTAGATGGCCAAGATTAAAAAAGCAATTGCCTTGAACATGGAGCCTCCACAACAAAAAAGGGAGAGGTACTTGTCTATTCATTGTATTATATTTAGTAGCCATAAAAGGAAATATACACTCACTTATCCCAAATGTTTTTCCTACTTCTGACAGACATCCACTTGAAAACAAACCTCAATTTTAATATTGATACAGTTTCAAATATTTTTCAACTGTCCCGTATATTCCAATTAAATGCTATTATCTGGTAATGCTTTAAAACTATAAAGAATAATTGAAGGTTCTACTCAGAAAAATTAGAAATACTCCCAGAGTGGTATCTAAATCATTTGGGAAGCTAATCTGACTTGAATTAATTATGAACAGGCAATTGTTCTGACTTTTGAGGAATACTAATGCTGCTTTCAAGAGCCTCCTCTGCTTTTCTTGCTTCATCCTACTAATACAGTCTGTACATCTTGTCAACCAAGAAAGATTTACAGTAAGCAGAGTCTGTTGCATAAAGCTGTATTGATAATAATATTCATATCTCAGAAAATACTCCATTTCTTCCACTTAGCTTGTTTAAAACTGAAGACAAGTCTGAGAAGGCGGTTGAGGTATAAGACAAAGTTGTCCTGGGTATCCAAAAGTTTCCCAACTCTTTTTTTGAGAAGAGGGAAGGGGGTGAAACAAGAAAGGGAGGTGATCATAAAGGGATCACTGAGAGGAAAACGAAGAATGCACACTTAAAAACAGACAACTGCTGGCATGTCATGATCTTCAGCTTAAAGAAGAAAGGACTCACCTGCATGTCTCTCAACTCAGTATAAGCAATTTTTCCTTCAAAACTAAACTGCTAGTCACCTGGCTTAAAAGGTTTCAGAAGCCTCCACAAAAGCCATGAGCTACATTGTTGAATAGAATCTTCACTATTCTACTCCTACCTCTGAAGCTACTCTTGTGACAAAAGCACCCAAATACTCTCAGCTAAAAAAAAAAAAAAAGTTATTGCCTTCAAACTAAAGATCTCTGGGTCACCTCTAAAAAAACAACCAACCAACTTATCATTCAAGAAACTATTTTCATTTCAGATTCCAGCCAACTGTGATTTCAGTTAATTTATAAATAACTTTAAAACCTTATGAATGAAATGCACCATACTACACCTGTGTAAAAGCGATCATGTTTTAATTATGCTAAAAATGACTAATACAGTGAGCTTCAATTAGAAAAATTAAGATTCTAAATAAATTGCTAGGGAATTTCACAATGGGGTCAATGAAAATTTTTCTCTACATACAATATGATCATTAACATACTAGTTAATCTTATT